CTCCCAGGATTTTAAACACACTGAGAAGGAGAAGTTCCCAGGCATGAGTTTCCCTAGGTAAAGAACTCATGTAACCACCCCTGGCATTCCAGGGGAACTTGATCTACCTGGGAATTCTCTGGGATTTGGCAATATCCCTGGAGAGCCAGTAGAGGTGACAAGCCTGCCTAAGAGGAACCCACTCAGCAATCACCATCTCCCACCTCTTCTCTTACTGTCCCCGAAGACTCATATATTATCAAACCAGGAAGTCTCATCCCCTCAATGAAGAGCTAAAGAGATCAGAACTAGAGAAGGTACATGGCCTGCTCCACACAATGTAGAAGAGGTGAGGAAACAGGGAGGAGGTGTTGCAAGGCCCGTGGGAAAGCCCAGGTGAAAAGCCAGGCATTTGTTTCTCAACTTTCTCCAAACAACTTGAGGCTATTCTGTGCTGGGCCTTCCAAATTTTTCTTCCAATTTTGCTTATCCCTGAGTTATGTGATTTATATAGTCTCCCAAATAAGTCTCTTATCCAAAAGGAAAATATTTTTAAAATCTCCATGCCCTAATCAAATTTAAGACTCATCATATATGTTGGTCAATCAGAGGGTTTGATAAGACTGTATCTTCGGTACAACTCCCTCCCTTCCAGCTGCCAAATAGGAAAATGGTCAGAGGCAAAGTCAAGGCTTACTAAGAAAAATACTTACTGTTCTTGTCAAAGTCCCAAAATGCACAGTGAACTTGACCATAATTCTGGAAAAAGACAAATCAAAGGTAAACACCTTTCTTGTGACACTTACCACACAGTGACAAACATACAAGCGTTTTCCTCTCAGTGTTCTTTCAAACAGTAAACACATACACACGGATCATTTGTGAGTTGGTTTTAAGATTGACCTCACCTAACTCTGGGTGTACACATGAAAAAACATCATGTCACTGCACGATGATCTGTTATGTGTTCTTTGACACCTGTCCTGGGACAGGGCCCATGAGAGGGGATGGATGGTCAGTGCCGGCCCGCTGCATGGTGGATGTTTGTGTTCCTTGTGGAGCTTTGGAATTTGGGGCTCACAACTGACATGAAGTGCTATGAGCGATAGGCTGGGCCGCCTCCTTAGACCCACCCAGCATTCCTGAGGCCTCATCAGCTCCTGCAGTCTCTAGGGAACTGAAAGCAAGGAGCAGTTGGTTAGTTGGGATGATCAAAGAGCTGTGGCCCCAGCCCAAATGGAGAGATCTTACCCATTCAACATGTTTCACTTGATGTGTGTGTGTGTGTCTACAGTTGTTGTCAGGGCCCATGAAGTTGGCTCCAACTCACGGCAACCCCCTGTACGACAGCACGAAACACTGCCTGGTCCTGTGCCATCCTCCCAATTGTTGCTATGCTGGAGCCTATCATTGTAGCTACTGTGTCAATCCATCTTGTCGAGGGTCTTCCCCTTTGTCACTGACCCTCCACTTTGCCTAGGAGCTCTGGTAGCATAGTGGCTAAGGCACTTGACTGCTAACCAGAAGGCTGGCGGTTCAAAGCCACAAGCCACTCCTTGGAAGAAGATGGGGCAATCTATTTCCATAGTGATACCGCCTCGGAAACCCAAGGAGGGGTCGCTATGAGTCGGGTCTGACTCGACAGCACATAACAACAACAACACCACTTTGCCAAGCATGATATCCTTCTTGAGGGAATGGTCCCTTCTGACAACATGATCAAAGCAGGTGAGATGAAGTCTGGCCATTCTCGCTTCTAAGGAGCATTCTGGCTGCACGTCTTCCAAGGCAGATTTGGTCGTTCTTCTAGCAGACCATGGTATTTTCAATATTCTTCACCAACACTACAATTCAAATGCATCCATTCTTCTTGAGTCTTCCTTATTCATTGTCCAGCTTTCACATGCATCTGAGGCTACTGGAAGTATCATGGCTTGGATCAGATGAACCTTAGACTTCAAAAGGACAACTTTGCTCTTTAACACTTCAAGCCGGTCTCTTGCAGCAGATTTGCCCAGTGTGATACTTTGTCCCATTTCTAGATTGCTGCTTTCATGGGTATTAATTGTGGATCCAAGTAAAATGAAATGCCTGACAACTTTTTTTTTTTTCCCATTTATCATAATGTTGCTGATTGGTCCACTGGTGACGATTTTTGTTTTCTTTATCCTGAGGTATAAGCCATACTAAAAGCTGCAGTCTTTGATTTTCATCAGTAAGTACAAGTCCTCTTTACTTTCAGCAAGCAAGGCTGTGTCATCTGTGTAGCTCACGTCGTTAATGAGTCTTCCTCCAATCCTGATGCCATGTTCATCTTCATATAGTCCAGTTCTCAGATTATTTGCTCAGCATACAGATTGAGTAAGTATGGTGAAAGGATACAACACTGATGCACTTTTCCTGATTTTAAACAATGCAGTATCCCCTTTTCCGTTCGAACGACGGCTTCTTGATCTATATACAGGTTCCCTTGAGCACAATTAAGTGTTCTGTAATTTTCATTCTTCACAATGTTATCCATAATTTGTTATGATCCACACAGTTGAAGGCCTTTGCATAGTGAATAAAACACAGGTAAATATCTTTCTTAAAAATTCTTTGCTTTCAGCCAAGATCCATCTGACATCAGTTAATGATATCCCTAGTTCCATATCCAGCTTACTTCCGTAGTGATACTGCCTCGGAAACCCAAGGAGGGGTCGCTATGAGTCGGGGACGACTCGATGGCAAATAACAACAACAACAACATATCCAGCTTGAATTTCTGGCAGTTCCCTGTCAATATACTGCTGCAACCATTATTGAATTATCTTCAGCAAAAGTTTTCTTTCATGAGATATTAGTAATATTGCTCGATAATTTCCACATTCTGTTGGATCACCTTATGGGCTCAAATACGGATCTCTCCCAGTCAGTGGACCAGGTAGCTGTTTTCCAAATTTCCTGGCACAAACAAGAGAACATGTCCAGTGTTACATCCATTTGTTGAAACATCTCAGTAGGTATTCCATCAATTCCTGGGGCCTTGGGTTTTTTTTGCCAATTCCTTCAGTGCAGCTTGGACCTCTTCCTTCAGTACCATTGGTTCTGGATCATATGCTACCTCTTGAAATGGTTGGATATTGACCAATTCTTTTTGATACAGTGACTCTGTGTTTTTCTTCCATCTTCTTTTGATGCTCCCCACACCTTTGAATATTTTGCTCATTATAACTGAAGGCCTGAAGTTTTTCTTCAGTTCTTTCAGCTAGAGAAATGCTAAGCGTGTTCTTCACTTTTGTTTTTCTAATTCCAGGTCTTTGCATATTTCATTATTATACTATACTTTGTCCTCTCAAGCCACTCTTTGAAATCTGTTCAGCTGTTTATTTCATCATTTCTTCCATTTGCTTTAGCTACTCTCCATTCAAGAGCAAGTGTCAGAGTCTTTTCTAACATTCATTTTGGTCTTTTCTTCCTTTTCTTTTTAAATGACCTTTTGCTTTCTCCATGTGTGGTGTTCTTGATGTCACCCACAACGTATCTGGTCTTTGGTCATTGGTATTCAATGTGTCAAGTCTATTCTTCAGATGGTCTCTGAATTCTGGTGGGATATAATCAAGGTCGTATTTTGGCTTTTGTGGAGTCATTTTAATTTTCTTTAGCCTCAACTTGAACTTGCATATGAGCGCAGTTGATGGTCTGTTCCACAGTTAGCCCTGGCCTTCTTCTTACGGATGATATTGAGCTTCTCCATTGCCTCTTTCCACAGATGTAGTCAATTTGATTCTTGTGTATTCCATCTGATGAGGTCCACATGTACAGTCACTGTTTATGTTGTTGAAAAAAGGTATTTTCAATGAATAAGTCACTGGTCTTACAAAATTTTATCATGCAATCTCTAGTGTCATGTCTATCACCAAGGCCATATTTTCCAACCACTGATGATTGTTTTTTATTTCCAACTGTCACATTCCAATCACCTGTAGTAATCAATACATCTTGAATGCATGTTTGGTCAATTTTAGATCGCAAAAGTTATAAAAATCTTCAATTTCTTCATCTTTGGCTTTAGTGGTTGGTGTGTAAATAGTAGTGTTAACTGGTCTTCCTTGTGGGTGGATGGATATTATCCTATCACTGACAGCACTGTACTACAAGATAGGTCTTTGAAAATGAATGTGATATCATTCCTCTTCAACTTGTCATTGCTGGCATAGTAGATCATATGATTGTCTGATTCAAAATGGCCAATACCAGTCCATTTCAGCTCATTAATGCCTAGGATAAGGAGCTCTGGTGGTGTAGTGGGTAAGGCATTTGGATGCTAACCAGAAGGTCAGTGGTTCAAATCCACCAGCTGCTTCACAGGAGGAAGATGAGGCAATCTACTTCTGTAAATATTTACAGCCTTGGAAAACAAATGGGGGGGCGCTATGAGTTCGAATTGACTCTGTAGCATTGGGATGTTTTTTTTAATGCCAAGGATATTGATCTTTATGTGTTCCAGTTCATTTTTGACAACTTCCAATTTTCTTAGATTCTTACTTTGTACATTCCATGTTCCAATTACTAATTCCCTTTCTCTCTTCCTTCTCATTTTGAAAAATCCTTCTCTTGCTCTTCCTTCTCTTCTTGCCTTTGAGAATCAAGACCAGAGAAAAATATGCTGTACCATCTGGTCTTTTAGATTAGGAACGAAGGAAGCTATTAAGACTTCACACTGGACACATATTAACATCAATGTCTGGATAATCAGTTCACTCTCATACTAAGGCTAAATTTGATCATTTAGTAATACATATCTTATAATACACCAAATGACTATTGTTTTAATCCATTGGTGATAATGAATGCACATTTTAATGTTCTTCATGAAAATTCAAAGACTATAAATGTTCAATTATTTTGAATGAAGTTGTTTGCCTCACTCAAAAATAAAAGGCATTAAATATCACTTAGGACAACCACAATTTCAACCTGCCCCGTCTCTCCCCTGCCAATATGTCACAGTGCTAGAATGCCCATCATTAGTTATTCCGTGAGGATAGGGCATATTTCCAGAAAGCCCCAGTTACAACACACCTCTGCTACCTGGAACGGGACAATCTTCATTAAGTCTTAGAATCACATCTGTTAACGAGCCATTTATTTTTGACAGGCAAATCCTGGCACATTTCTGAGGCCTTTTTATTCTGAGATGAAAATGGATATTTTACCTGGTTTCCTTCAATGTGCTGCAGAGTGATAACCACTGGGTCAGCCAAGTTTTGAATGGACATGTCTGAAACGCTGGCACTCACAACGTATGTGGTTAATGTGTTAGTGAAGTTTTTGGTCTGCAGATGAAACACAGAAAGAAGAGGAGTTCAGGTCCTAAATTTCTAATTTCTTACACATTAATAATCTTTCTAGAATTTTGACACGTAGTACACACAGCATTAGGTACAGTGGTGCAGATAATAAAATGACTTTTGAAGGGCCATTTAGCTCGTCTTATGTCTTCACACAAGGCCTCAATTATACCAATCTAGAGCAATCCATTTATCCATACGTAAATCTTAATACCTATCTAACAAGCATTGATTCACACCTGCTACTCAGGTGCTAATTCGCAACGCAACATTTCACAACTTATTTCCATTTTAATCCTCACCCATCCTTAACAACTTTTAGAGAGTCCCTCCTCACAAGGAACCTAAATCAATCACGTGTTAGTGATAAACCATTTCCTTTTCTACCCCCACTGGAGATGGAGGCTAGTTGATCAACATCCAATTTGGTACAAGTTGCTGAGGACAGCCATTGCCTCCCTAGGAGATTATGAGCTCTGAAGCCAGAGCACAGGACTTGTGCATCCTGATGTTCCCTGCCTGGTTTAGCACACAGTAGGTATTTTATCCAGTGCCCATGATGAGCCAGGTACTCTGCTAAGTGCTTTCCTTACATGTACGATCTTTAGTCCTCGCTGAAACCATACAGTCATTTTTTTTTTTTCAGATAAATTGATGCTTGCAGAGGTAAAAAAAAAAAAAAAAAAAAAAACCTCAGACACAGGTCACACAGCTAGTGAATGACAGGGCAGAGATGTTTAGTAATTGCTCGTTTAAAGGAAGCTAACTGGAGTGTACCTGTTGGGATGCTGAGCTTGCTAATTAATGGACCCAAAGTGTCACAGGCCAAGGCTCTGGGTGGCAAACCAGCTACCTGGCCTGGGTGGGAGGCTGCCTCTTCTGGGGCACACGTGAAGAGACCAGAGGCAGGGCAGGTGCATGACAGGAGGGAGAGCCTACAGGGGAGCCCAGGGTGATGTTCCTGGCAGAGCCTACCAGGCCACTTGTAGAAGACGCGAAGCCCTCATATTTCTGAAGAAACGGTGCCTGGATTCCCACTCTGCCCCACCTGAGCCTTGCAGTTGCTACGAACCAAGGAACTGTGAATGCAGCCTGGGACTGCGCTGGAAGCTACTTCCTGTTCCTGATCCACTCTGCTCATCCAAAGCCATTTTGATGGCTCAGTGCTCCCTTCTGAGTGGAATTCTCTTGGGGTAAGCTCACAGAGAGGTGGATAGCAAGATGTGGGGGAAAGGGCCCTGGCTAGAAGTCAACGGACCAAGTACTAGTCTGAGTTCTCTTGTTCCTCAAAGTTTCCTTTCCCCTTCTGGACCATTGATGACATGAAGAAGGAAGGTAGAGCAGATGATAACAAGGACCCTCCCAACTTCATCTGAGAGATGCAATTTTCTGTAGTGGAAAGACTAAAGGAGAAACCCATAATGACCCAGGCCTTAATTAACCTAGTCTCTGGCTTCACTTACCTACAAAATGGTGCTCAGGCAGCAAAATAAACGACATTTCTTACCCCTATAGGAGCCTGGTAGCATAGTGGCTAAAGCACTTGACTGCTAACCAGAAGGCTGGCGGTTCAAACCCACCAGCCACTCCTCGGAAGGAAGGTTGGGCAATCCTACTTCCGTAGTGATACTGCCTCGGAAACCCAAGGAGGGGTCGCTATGAGTCGGGGCCGACTCGACGGCACATAACAACAACAACAACCTTTTCAGGATCCCCGGTGGCACAGTGGTTAAGTGCTTGACCGCTAGCTGACAAGTTCGAACCCACCAGCTGCTCCCTGGTAGAAAGATGTGGCAGTTTGCTTGCATAAATATTACAGCCTTGGACATCCTGTGGGGCAGTTCTACCCTGTCCTATAGGGTCACTATGAGTCAGAATCAACTCACCATCACACGACAACAACATACCCCCTCACTGTATGTGAAAGCCATCCTTTACCTATTTCCTCTCTGGACCTTTACACAAGCTGCTTCCTCTGCCCAAAACACTCCCGCCTCCTTTCCCTGGGTCCCTTTCATCTGCTAACTCCTATGAGCCCGCAGGTCTCAGCTGAGACCTCTCTTACACTGGGCCTTTCCTGAGCTCCCAGATGGGGAGTGTACCCTTCTCAGTGCTCTAAGAGTACCTATGCCATATTGGACTGGTCTATTGCCTTGTCCCTCTCCCTAAGCATTGCAGCTACTACAGGAGCAAGGAGGAGGAGGTACATGTTTTACAAGAGTGGTATCATAGCAATGATTTTTAAGATAATATGCTATAATGACAGCTAATATTTTGATTTAAAAAAAAGGTGGAGGAAGCAGTTTGAAAAAAAGGCTGTGAAACTCAGGGAAAAGACAGCTAAAGGGAGGCAACTTTTCTAAGTGCCCAGGTCCCAGCTTCAGTTCACCCAATTCTGTGGTAGAACCTTTGTCTCTGTTCTCCTTCACCAGACTGTAAGCTCCATGAAGGCAGGCACCAAGTCTTTCTTGCTCACCATTGTATCTTCAGCATCCAGTACCACGTAAGATATATAGTAGGGATTTAATAAGTATTTGCTGAATAAATAAATAAATGAACAAACTGTGCCACTTTCAGCAGGCCCCTTCCTCTCTCCAGGCCTAAGTTTCCTCACTGGTAAGATGAGGAGATGGGACAAGATGAGTATGGGGCCCTTCCAACTCTGAATTTGATGGCAGGTTAGTTCTAATCCTCCTTCCACCACTATGACATCTGTAGGCTAATTTCAGCAAAGATATTTAATCCCTTTCAGTGGAAGGTGTGAGTGAATAAAAATTACTTATTAAGTGTGAAATCTATGCAAAGCAAGTTTAGGTCTTATTGTATGAGATAGGCTCAGCTCTCTAAAGAAAAGAGAGATGTTACCAACAAAATAATTTTATCTCTGATGATACAGAGAAATTACAAGCCTATCAAAAGGGTTAGAGTGCTATGCACCATATTTTTATTTTAATTAAAACTCTCATTCACTAACTAACTGGCTTGTCTTGGGTCCAGCCTAATTTTTTCCTCCCATCAAAAAGCCTCAATCAACATGTATTTACTGAAAACATGCTGGATACCTAGTCCTGTGCTGAGTTCCATGAAGAATAAAACATGTCTGAGCCATGCCATATGCCACAACCTACTTGAGGAAATCAGTCTAGCAGCTAGGCAGAAATGTAACACAGGAATATGAGCAGGGGTTGTGGAAGAGACCAGGGGCTTGTGAACTCCAAGCAGGCTTCCTGGGTGGTATTTGATCTAAACCCACAGGAATAAATAGATTTTGGATAGACAAGGGATCAGCTAGAGAATTCCAGGGGAAGGGAATATCCTACAGATACAGCTAGAGGTGATTACTTATATTATACATTTGAGTTGTACCAATACAACCTTCCCCAAAATAACTGTGAATATTTAATCCTAGAAATTCACTCCTTTGGACAGGATATTTGGAAATGCATACACACCTGGGAAAATTAATGTATTAACCTCTTAAATACATGAGATTTAGAGTCATATGGCCTGAGTTTGATTCCTACCTAATGCCACTTCTTAGCTATGTGAGCTTCAGCAAAATTTCTTAACCTCTGTGTCTTGGTTTCTCGTTAGAAGTAAATGAGATAATAAATGTGAATAGTAGCCATCAAAATAGTAATAATCATCATCAACTTCACACAAACTGGAATTGCTATCATCCCAATGATGAGATAAGATGGGCTAAAGGTATGGGTCTTTTGTTGAGCAGAGAGACAAGATAGGGTAATGATAATAGCAATGCAAAAACTTACATGGTACTTCATACGCGTCAGGCAATATTCTAAACACTTTATATGTATTGACTAATACATATACATAATACTTTAATCTTTTAACATGCCTTGTGGTTGTTAAGTTTGTGTGTCAACTTGGCTGGACCTGGTTGAGTGGCTGGGCAGCTGGACGTAGTATTCACCATGATGAGACTGGTAATCAACTCCATGGTGGAATCTACTGTGAGCAGCTGAGTAGCTGCCTTAGGGATGGTGTCTGCTTCCTGTATATAAGGAAAAAGGTTTGGGGAATAGTCTCTAGCTTGAGGCACGCTTGAACCATGCATGTAGCCGAGTCATTGTTCAGCAGCCTGCCATGCTCTGCCAATCTTGGGACTTTCAATGGACTTGAATTAATGACCTGCCATGTGGTTTGGTAACATCAGGACTGTGCCATTTTACTTGTCAACCTTGGACTTGTCAGCCTCAGCAGCCAGCAGCTGTCTGAGTGAAGAAAAGCCTCTAGCTTCAGTGGGCCAGGAGCAGGAGGCAGAGCTGAAGTCCAAGGTTGAGGGGCCTTCACCCAGCCCCTAGAGCCTGTGACTTTGAACTTGGACTTAAAGCCTTTAAGCTGTAAGAGAATAAACTCCTGTTTGTTAAAGCCATCCCACTTGTGGTATATTCTTGTCAGAGCAGCACTAAGGAATCAGAACATCCCTATACCAAAAAACCAAACCAGTTGTCATCAAAATAAGTCCAACTTATGGAGACCCATATGTTTCAGAGTAGAACTGCACACACAGGGTTTTCAATGGCTGATTTTCAGAAGTAGATCACTGAACCCTTTTCCTGAGGTGCCTCTGGGTATGCTCAAGCTCTATGAGGTACTATAATCACTCTCTTTAACAGAGGAGGAAATTAAGGCACATAAAGGCTGAGTAACTTGCCCAAGGGTCCACAGGTAGAAAATGTTATACCAAGCCAGTCTGGCCCCAGGCTCCACACTCTTAACCCCCACAACATTTTGCCTTTCTGTTTTAATCGCGGATGAGGACTGGAGCCCTTGGAGAAGGTTCTGTGGAGGAAGTGGGAAGAAACAACGAATGCCTGCAGGCAAGTGTCCTGCTGGACACCACTCAACTTCATATGAGTTAGGCCAGATAGAGTGGCTATGCTGGCTTTGAGGAGCCGGGGGAGATTTGGGAGGAAACACTGACAAGCTCAAACAGCCTTCCATCAGGAGAACTTGCTGTTCTTTTCTGGCTTTGAAACATCTCAGGCCTCTGTTTGGTCACCAGATAATCTTTAAGGTTCTTTCCAAAGCTGAGAAGCCGGGAAAATGAAAAAGCATGGAACATCATTAAAGTAGATGCTGATTTATGTTGAGGGCCAGGGGCTGTGCTGGAAGATTTGTGGAATAAATCATAGAGCATATTCTAAAACAAAGAGAACACAACGAAAATAGCAAGAATTCATAATGGCAATGAGTCACTGTATGTCAGCCCATGGCAGTTACTGGAGGCAAGAACTTACCTTGAAGAGTGAAGTTTGGCCAAAGAAATTAAACAAGATGCTCTGTAAGTTGTTAAGGGGAATTATCTCCTTCAGTGATTTAGGCAAATATATGGAAGCCAAAATCTTCCTCAGAGGGACTTCACCTAGGTAAATCTGCCATGAAAAGTCAGAAAAAGTGAAAACTGGTTTCTTCACCAATTAGTGTAAAATCCTCCCCACCTTCCACCCACATTCTCTTCCTCTCTCTCCCTTCCTCCCTCCCTCCTTCCCTCTCTCTCTCTCAGTCTCTCCTCTCCTCTCACAAGCCAAGACATGAACCTGGTACACACAGACATACACAAACCCCATCCTCCCCCTTTTTTCCCCAAGCCTATCCCTGGGATTCTGTTCCTTTAACCTGCTTCCACCTGGAGCCTTTGACTGCTAACCAGAAGGCTGGCAGTTCAAACCCACCAGCCGCTCCTCAGAAGGAAGATTGGGCAATCTACTTCCACAGAGATACTGCCTTGGAAACCCAAGGAGGGGTCCCTATGAGTCAGATTCTATTCGACGGCAGTGAGTAAAGGAAGTTAGTAGTAGTAAATATATAGATGTGTGTGTGTGTGTGTGTATCACAATTACAGATAGATTCCAGTGTGGCAGGGAAGTGAGATACTAGCCCTTAGGAAACCTTCTAGGGGCCCACTATTATAAGAATTTTCTGATTTTATTGGTAAGTACTGGAACACTTTTGAGATTGAAAGAGGGATTATTACACAGGGACCAGAGTTGAAAACAAAGACCCACTCAAAAAAAATCAGGTTGTATGAGCACCATTGTATGCATTCTCTCATTTAAACTTTCTGTCAACCCTGGAAGGTATGCTGTATTATGGCCACTGCAAGTGATATCAGGAAATGGAGGCTCAGAGAGGTTAAGTGACTTACCCAGGGTCACAAAGCTTGGACGTGTTTAAACAAGAATATAGACCAAATCATAACCCTGGCCCACATTTTTCCTATTATCCACGCTGCCTCTTAAGGAGCTATTGTCTAGTTAGATGTGTGCATTGTGGGGTGAGGAGAAATTGTAATATTTCTAAAAATGACTTGTGAACCTAAAAATCATATAGCTCTTCCCATGGCACAAATTAACTCAGGGTAAATGAATATGATGGAAAGGTTATGACTCAGTTTCACCATGGGAAGTCAGCTTCTGCTTCCAGTGTGCTTGAGAGCTCCTACTGGACTTGACCCTCCTGCACAAAACAACTATAAACTCTGGAAAAATACAAAATAATGATAACTTGAAGGCACTGGAGAATGAACAAAAGTAGGCAGATACTGGAGAGCAGTGAACACTTAGAAAAGGGAACATTACAAGGTGAACTACCCATTTTGACAGCTTTTAGCCTGATGGTCAGTCAAAATTGGTGCTATGAATGATTCCTAAAATTCTGATAGAAAACTGATCGTCTTTCTGAAATGAAGAATCAAAACAAAAAGTTTTGGGCAATCACAGCCACTGGAAAGTAAGGGGTAAGTGAACCTGGGAAGAAAAAAGCTAGAAGTTAGCTCAAATTTTGAGTATAAACTCTACCCAAATATCTGCCTGACTTCTGAACCAAATATGTATAGGACACACTCTGACTAAAGACAAAGGACCTCAACTAAGATTTGAACTACTTTCCAAGAGATAGGGTTTATAGATTGAGCCCAATCAGATGAATTGCTTGGTATAATAAAAATCTATATTCTAAAGAGGAATCTAGAGTCTCCACAACATAATTTAACTCACAATATCCAAGACATAATCCAAAACTACTTATTATGTAAAGAACCAAAAGCAGAAAGAAGAAAACGACCCATTTTCAAGACAAAAGACAATGAAAATCAACCCTGAGTTGACCCAGATGTCAGAAGTAGCAGACAAGGATTTTAAAGCAGCCAGGATAACTATGCTGAAGGATTTAAGGGAAAACATATTTGCAATTCATGAAAAGACAGGAAATATCAGCAGAGAAACAGAAACAAAAGAAGAAGGATCAGCAGGAGAAGAAAATGGAAATTACAGAACTGCAAATGCAATATTAGAACTTTTTTAACTTCACCAGATAGGTTCAATAGCAAAATGGAAATGGCAAAGGAAAGAGCCAACCAAAAAAAAAAAAAAAAAAAAAAACCCTAAACTCACTGCCATCAAATCAATTCTGACTCATAGCAGCCCCCACTGGGTTTCCAAGGCTGTGAATCTTTATGAAATCAGGTTGCCCCATCTTCCTTCCATGGAGTGGCTGGTGGATTTGAAACACTGACCTTCTAGTTAGCAGCCAAATGCCTTATCCACTACACCACTAAAGCTCCCTGAGGAAAGAGCCAGTGAGGATAAAATAATAGAAATTATCCCATCAGAAGACTAGGTAAAAAAGTATTTAAAACATGATCAGAGTCTCAGGGACAGTATCAAAAAGTTTTACATAGATGTAATTTAAGTTTTAAAATGAGAAGAAAAAGAGAAGAGTAAAGAAACAATATTTGAAGAGATAATAGTAGAAATTTCTCTAAATTTGGTGAAAGACATAAATGTACAGATTCAAGAAGTTCAACAAACCACAGTCAGGCTTATTTTAAAAAAAAAAATGCCTAGGCACATAGTAGTCAAACTGGTGAAAACCAAAGAAACTATTAAAAGCAGTTAGAGAAAAGTGGCACGTGAACATTACATACAGAGAAACAAAATTTTGAGTGATTTCTGACTTTTCATCAGAAAACATGGAAGCAAGAGGGAAGTGGACAAACATCTTTAAAATGCTGAAAGGAGCAACAGTTGTCAATCCAGAATTTTATATCAAGCAAAACTATCCTTCAAGAATAAAGGTGAAATAAAGACATTCTCAGATAAGAGAATTCATATAGCTTAAAAAAAAGTCAGTAAAAAAATAAAATGCAATCCCAAGAAATACTAAAATAAACCAAAAGACAGCAGGAAAGGAGAAACAGAGGGACAAAAATAAAAACAGGAAGAAGAAGAAAAAGAAACACAGGGGACAGACAGAAAATATAATAAAACAGTAGTCTCAAAAAGAACCCGTATCAATTATTACATTAAATGTAAAAGGCCTACACATGCCAGGTAAATGGCAAATGTTTTCAGGATGGACAAAAGAGCAAGATACAAACAATATGCTATCTACAAGAAACACACTTTAAATTTGAAGACACAGATAGCTAGAAAGTAAATAGGTACAATATATAGAGAGACCACAAAAAAAAAGTAAGAATAAGCATGTAATTGAAATCCAATAAAATGGACAACAAAACAAAGAGTATTACCAGAGACAAAGAGGGATATTTTGTAATGTTAAACAGGCTAGCATTAAGGTTAGTATTAGAAAGACAACAACATAAATGTGCATGTATTTAATAACAGAGCCCCAAAGTAAGCAAGGCAAAATGTGACAGGATTAAAGGGAGGAATAGACAAGAGTCAGAAATTTTAACACCCTTCTGGACTAGAAACAACTAGGAAAAACATCAGTAAAGACACAGATGATCTGAACAACACTAACAACCACCTTGAGCTAAGTGATATTTATAGTACAAAACATCCAACTGTAGAATGTGTATTTTTTCAAGTTACACGTGGTGCAATCACCAAAAGACATTTAAGTGGACTGGAATTATACAGAGCATATTCTATGATCAAAATAAAATATATAAGAAATCAACAAAAATAAGATATCTTGGATTTCCCCCAAATATTTGGGGTTTAGATAAAACATTCCTAAGTAATCCATGGATTAAAAAGTAAATCAGAAGTATTTTGTACAGACTGATAATGAAAATACACCATATCAAAATTTGTTGAATGCAGCTAAGGCAGTGCTTCGAGAGATAGTTATACCTTTTTGTGATTCCTTTAGAAAAGGAAAAAGGTCTAAACTCAATGGCTCATGGATTCACCCTAAGAAACAAGATAAAGAGCAAAGTAAACCCAGAGTAAATAGAAGGAAAGAAAGACAAGAGCAGATATCAAGAAAGTAAAAAACAAACAATAGAGAAAATGAATAAAGCCAAAAGTTGATTCTTGGAAAGGATCATCAAAATTGATAAATCTCTAGTAATACAGATCAAGGAAGGAAAAAAATATTATGAAAATCAAGAACGAAAGAAGAATTTTACTGTAGATCAGAGGCTGGCAAGCTATTCAGCAGGACAAATCCTACCAATGGTCTATTTTCTAAGTCTCTAAGCTGAAATATGACCTTGAGTATATCCCACCTGAATTTGGAGACCATATGAAAAGTAGATCTGATGCACTGAACACCACTGACAGAAGACCAGATGAGTTATGGAATGACATCAAGGACATCATCCATGAAGAAAACAAAAGGTCATTAAAAAGACAGGAAAGGAAGAACAGACCAAAATGGATGTCAGGAGAGACTCTGAAACTTGCTCTTGAACAGAGTAGGTAAAGTAAATGGAAATAAAAGAGGTGAGCAGAATATTTCAAAGGGCTGCTCTAGGTGACAAAGTAATGTATTACAATGAAATGTGCAAAGACCTGGAGTTAGAAAACCAAAAGGGAAGAACATGCTTAGCATTTCTGAAGCTTAAAGAAGTGAAGAAAAATTCAAGCCTGGAGTTGCAATATTGAAGGATTCTATGGGCAAAACACTCAACAATGCAGGAAGCATCCAAAGAAAATGGAAGGAAGACACAGAGTCAATGTACCAAAAAGGATTGGTTGGTGTTCCACCATTTCAGGAGGTAGCATATGATCCAGAACTGATAGTACTGGAGACAAATCTTTAAACTGCATTGAAGGAATTGGTGAAAATAAGGCTCTAGTAATTGACAGAATACCCATTGAGATGTTTCAACAAGAGGATGCAGCACTGGAGGCACTCATTCACTTACTCCAAGAAATTCGGAAGACAGCAACCTGGACAACTGACTGGAAGAGATTAATATCTGTGCCCATTCCAAAGAAAGGCAATCCAACAGAATGTGGAAATTATCAAACAATATCGTTAATATCACATGTAAGAAAAATGTTGCTGAAGAGAATTCAAAAACGGTTGCAGCAGTGCATTGACAGAGAACTGCCAGAAATTCAAGCTGGCTTCAGAAGAGGGCCTGGAATGAGGGATATCATCATTGATGTCAGCT